CCGCACCGCACCTATTCCGTCCTGCACTGCACTGTCACCATTCAGAACCTTAAATGTCCTCAGATGCTGGCAAATAGGTTATTTATTTAACAAAAAAAATACTATAACTCGGGTTTGTGTTCTAATAACGTACACCAATATTGTTGTCGTAACATAATCCGAATTTTTTATAAACGATTTTACCATTTTTTTTGTCGTTACCAATTAATTTTTTACTTCACTAATGAAAGTTTAAAGTCATTTACTATAGATATCCAAGAAAACTATATATAAATGGGACATATACTATATAGTACTTCTTCTGATTTAAACTAAAAAAAAAAAAAGACTAATAAGCATATAATTAATAGGAAAAATTGTCAAAAATGCTACTTTTGGAAAATATTTTTTAAAAAATATCATAATCTTAATGGTTTGCAAAAAATGTCACATTTTGTCTTTTAATGTATAAGCAAAAGATATTTCTATCATTATCTCTCTTCCACACATCATCTTTCTCTTTCTTAAATCTTTTTCTTCTCTTTCTCACTTTTTCTTTTCCCCATAAATTTCTCTACGCTCCCTTTTTCTATGTTTTTCTTCTTTCTCTCACGTAAATACCTCTCCTCTCTCTCATGGTGATTTAAGGTGGTGAACAGAGATTGGTGATAGATGGTGGACAAAGACATGAGAGAGACAGTGATAAAGGACAAAACGGTGATGGTGACAGAGGACAAAAACGGTGACTGTAACAGTGTTCGTATACAACAACGGTGACGGAGGACGTATTTGTAGATAGAAGACATAACCGAATGGACAACTCGTTAGATAGAGGACGTTTTTGTAGATAGAAGACGTCTTTGTAGATTGAAGACATGACCGAATGGACAACAACGGTGACAGAGGACGTCTTCGTTACATAGAGTTGTCCACTAAAATCGAGAGAGAGAAAAAAAAAAGAGGAGTTGTCCACTAAAATCTGGCAGAGACAAAGTTGTCCACTGAGAGAGACAGAGATTTAAGATAGAGAGAAAGAATAGATCCATCTTCAAATAGATCCATCATCT